AATTTCTATCAGGGCTTTGGCTTTCCTAACTGGAACAGATCCCTGGCTGCTCAGACAGTTTCTCTGTATTCTTCCCAGGCTACCTGCCCTTGCTTCCACCTTCTGTAGGCTTCCTTTTTTTGCTTGACTTTGCCCAGGAGCTCCTTGTTCATCCATGGGGGCCTCTTGATGTTTTTGCTTGACTTCCTCTTTGTTGGGATGCATCGCTCCTGAGCTTGGAGGAGGTGACCCTTGAATATTAGCCAGCTGTCTTGGGCCCCTCTTCCTTCCAGGCCTTTGTCCCATGGTACTGATTTATTTAAGTACACTTCACTCTTACAGACCCACATATCTAACTGTGGGCGATTATGTACTTATGTATCACTGAAACTAATGAAGTGCTGCAGGTTAAGTCTGTGCATTGGTAATTGCCTCACCAACACTAGAATCTACAAAGCTTTTTTGAACTAGAGCTCCTAGCCAGTATAATATGTGATAGCTATCAATGGAAGCTAAAAAAATACATGTTTAAATAAAAAATTATTAAGCTAGAAAGTAATTTATTCTTTTCAGCTATTCAGATACAATAACTAGGAGGACAGCTGTAGTCAGCTAACCTTTAATGGACCTCACTTTTTAATGAAATCTATAGATTTATTCTAGCTTCTCAATAGGTATCACATTCAGCAGGGCACAATGACATTTAATCTGGAGAGGCATGGAAGGTTCCTAGGAAGAAGATTTTTCCAAATAAGCCTATTGGGGAAAATAAGAAATAAAATAAGCTTAGTTCACATATAAAAACTCTCCACTGTTAGAAAAGAATATCCACATAACTGTGTATTACACCTGCACACACACACAAAAAGCAATGTAAAAAGGATTAAGTTGGCACCTCAGCTTTGGCTTCCAGACTTTCACTTGCAAGTTTTGCAGTCCAAGTCTCCCCATCCTTCCAAACATGCAGGTGCATACAAATGGTCCATTAGTCAATAACTGAGAGCTCAAGAAGGAGAGATTTCCTGGTTTTAGTTGTGTTGCTTCTCCTCTTGTACAACAGCTCAGAGCTGGGACATGATGATAGATTTGAAGAGTCCAGCTGCTCAGCTCTATGATCTGCTGTGCTGGTTTGACCGTGGCTGGAGGCCAGGTGCCCCCCTAAGCTGCTCTATCACTGCCCTCCTCAGCTGGGCAGGGGAGAGAAAATATAACGAAAGGCTCCTGGGTCGAGATCAGGACAGGGAGAGATCACTCACCAGTTACCGTCACAGGAAAAACAGACTCAACTTGGGGAAATTAATTTATTACCAATCAAATCAGAGTAGAGTAATGAGAAATAAAACCAAATCTTAAAAACCCCTTCCTCCCACCCTTCCCTTCTTCCCAGGCTCAATCACACTCCCAATTTTCCCTACCTCCTCCCCGCCAGCAGCACAGGGGGACGGGGAATGGGGGTTGTGGTCAGTTCATCACACAGTGTCTCTGCTGCTCCTTCCTCCTCAGGGGGAGGACTCCTCACACTCTGGCCCTGCTCCAGTCCTTCACGAACTTCTCCAATGTGAGTCCTTGCCACAGGCGCCAGTTGTTCACCAACTTCTACCGCGGCCATCTGCTCCAGTGGGAGTCCCTTCCACGGGGTGCAGTCCTTCAGGAACAGACTGCTCCAGCGTGGGTCCCCCACAGGGTCACAGGTCCTGCCAGCAAACCTGCTCTGGCGTGGGCTCCTCTCTGCATGGGGCCACAGGTCCTGCCAGGATCCTGCTCCAGCACGGGCTTCCCACAGGGTCACAACCTCCTTTGGGCATCCAGCTGCTCCGGCGTGGGGTCCTCCATGGGTTGCAGGTGGATATATGCTCCACCATGGGCTGCAGGGGGACAGCCTGCCGCAGCATGGTCTTTTCCAAGGACTGAGAGGGAATCTCTGCTTTGGTGCCTGGAGCACCTCCTCCCCCTCCTTCTGCACTGACCTGGGTGTCTGCAGGGCTGTTTCTCTCACTTGTTCTCACTTCTCTCTACAGCTGCAATTGCTGCTGCCCAGTTTATTTGTCCCCCTTCTTAACTCTGTTATCCCAGAGCCACTACCACTGTGGGTGATGGGCTCGGCCTTGGGCAGCAGCAAGTCCTTCTTGGAGCCGGCTGGTGTGTTGGACATGGGAGAAGATTCTAGCAGCTTCTCACGGAAGCCACCCCTGTAGCCTCCCTCGCTACCAAAACCTTGCCACGCAAACCCAATACATCTGTGCATACTCCTGTTTTAATTTTCCAAAGAGGCTTGTAGAGTTTCACCAAATTTCACAAGCTGATTTTCAGATTGACACACAGGGTGTTCTGCCTCAGGTGTCCTCTCCAACATACAGGCAAGCATGCTTCTTAATGTACAATTTCTCAGAATGTATTACAGTAGTCACATTTGTCCTGTTATGTCTTTTTATAAAACAAATGAAATATTTTGGCTTATTTCCTTCTGGGGAAAAAAAAACAAAAACAAAAACAAAACAAAACAGAGGTAGACCCATGATACATAAAGTCCTACAAAGTTAGGAGAGACTGAAAACACGGAATTATTGGACAGTAACAGATGACAGTACCAGTATTCCTCCAGTACATTTAGATTTTCATTATTTCTTATCTTTTGTGACATCTCTTTCCCCTTCCCCTAGGAGAAAATCCTTCTGTGGCTTCTTCAGTTTATGCAAGAACAAGGAATTTCACTGGATGAAGTTGACCAGGATGGAAATACTGCTGTTCACATAGCTGCTCAACATGGCTATCTAGGATGCATACAGGTAGAGTGATAGCTATATCAGAAGCCTCTTTACATCAAACTTGAATGACAACAACCATTAAAATGATTGTAGGAGATCTTACAAGTGGGAATAATTAATGATACATTAAAATATACTAGAAGGAAGAACTTCAGTAGGACTCAAATTGAAATACTGAAACGCTCTGTTTTCTGGATTCTATTCTCAATTGTGCTGTTGTTAGCCTGAAGTAAGTGTTGTATAGCAAGAAGAAGGTGTGATTATATTGTTTATACATAAGCGGCTAATATGTATATTTTTATGTTACAAAAGGGCAGCCAGCATAGATATGCATACTCTTCTTTCTGTTCTATTTTCCTTGTGTTTCTTTTTCCAATAAATAGTTGTAGCTCTCCAGCTTAGAGGAAGTCTAACAGATAAGTTTCTTCTATGTTGAAGGATTTCCACCTTGAGTAAAACATCCTTTCCAGACCTGTATTCTGTGAATGTATCTATGCTAAACAATGCAGCATGATGGTGATTTCTAACTAATTCTCAATGAATCAGCTTGGCCACTGAAAGTAATATAGTTCTACTGTATAGAGGTATACAATAGAAAAGGGTAATTTGTTTTACTGAGAAGGCTTACACAGCTACAGTAATTTTGGAAGGCAGATCTGATAAACCAGTTTGGATACCTCTGTGCAGTACCAGTGTTCAATGCAGACATATCAAAAAAGTTGTGGGGTTGAACTGGATGGCTAGGTGAAGCATCTCAACTTTGCGTTGAATTGCAGATGTACCTTCTGTCCAGCAAAGTTACTAGAACCATGACTCACAGTACATTTCAATATTTAGTATTGTCAGCAGTTTGAATGAAAGCTGTTTGAAAAATGATAATAAAATTATTCCAGAAGATTGCAGAAAAGTATTTGAGAAACAAATTAATCATTGGAGAAGAATAGATAAAAGAATAAATAACAACGTGGCAGAAAGGCAAGAAATAGAAATCAAAGTGATCAAGTCAAGTAGGGGAGGAAAAGATGTCTAAGAAGGAATAATAATTCTCAAAGTCTAAGGACTCGAATATATATCAGTAAACATATTAATCCTGTTACCACACATGAACTGATCCACAGCACCTCTTAGGCCACTGCAAATACAGAACATTTGTATTAGTTCAAGCCTAAAAGAAATACAGCTAGTCAATTCTCATTAGCTAACCTCTTCAGAGAGCTAAATATATTTGTACACACTGTTATGTTGAATCTACAGATGCATAGCTCCTTATTATAGCAGTCTAATTATTTATCTGAACACAGAGAAGATATAACTCCATAAAAAACAGTGTGAGAGTCTCTCACAATAAAAAAAGAAAAACAGGTGTCAGCTAAGCTGAATGAATAAACTTGAAAAGAACACAGTCAAATAGATTTGGAGGACATGACCATGTCTGCATTTTCTCACTGGTGGAACATATCTTTCTTTTAAAGATGTCAGGAATGGACCCTGTACAAACTCTTATGAGTATAAAATAAAAAAATCATCATATCTGTGCTAAATCTTTTTATTATAATAATAAATGTTGTTATTATTGTATTGTAGAAAATTGCTGAGAGCAGTTGGAAAAATTGGATAGAAGACATGTTTATTGTTTACTAGTGAGGAGCACTGTTGTGGTAGGATGTGTGCTTAGAGTTACTAACTCAACAGCGGCTTGTCAAAATGTACAATGCCTTTGAAGGAGAAATGAGAGTAGATGATTTTGAACAGAGTGGTGACATCTGCAGGCTGTTTTCATGGATGAAACTAACAAAAAAGAGAATAGCCCTGCTTTCCTGATGAAGAATGAACCTTAATAAATGGCTTAGAATTCTCAAGATTATTTTATTGTAGATAAATATACAAATCAACAAGTGTTTTGTGCTGAAGTGAAGCCATGAGAAGTAAATCATGAAAATTACTAATGACAACAAAAATATGTTAGCAATGTCACTTCATTAACAGCTCACAGCCTTAAGTGTAGTTGATGTTTTGTTGTGCTGTGAAACAAAATAAGCCCTCTGCACAGTGAGCTCATGGTCTAATTTAAAACAATGTACAGTGAATGATCTGGTAAAAAGAAAGAAGCTATAAAGGAGGCGGGGAGATTATAAGTAGCGGTACTAAGGATGGAGGGTCACAGGCTGTCAGTGATTCCCCAGCCCTCTCATTCACTGTATTTATGAGGACCTGAAACTTCTATCATGTTCCAAACTATAAGACTGCTTTCTGCAGGGTCATAACTCTCCCTTCTTTATTTTCTTTATTGGCAAATTAAACCAAATTTATTGACACGAGATGCAGTGCAAAACTGTTCATAAGTTTCCCTTCTCTATAGATTTAGCAAACCAGACAGACCACCATTACTGTTTTCTGTCAGCAGATGTAGAGGGCTCTGTGCCTGCTGTTCTGAGTCAACAAGGCCACTCCAATCCTTGGTGGCTTACTAGCTCTGCTTGGATAAGTCAACCAAGAGCTAGCCATGCAATTCCTCTTCTGCATGTGTACGTGTAATGTTAATGATGTGGTAGTTTTTGGATGCATTATGATTTTGTTCAGAATTTTTTCCAAAGTACTATAAGCATTGTGTATTTGAACATTGCTGAGAATATTTAGGTCCTATTCTAGGCTCTCTAGTAAAGTGAATAGTGCATAAAACAGATTTCATGAACAGATCAGAAAGAGTGAAGGTTTGGTCTCAGTTCTTGCTTCAGTTATTGGATGTCTTGAGTACTGCATGCTTTGGTCTAGAGAAGAGGACACTGAGGGGAGACCTCATCACAGCCTACAGCTTCCTCACGAGGAGGAGCGAAGAGGCAGGCGCTGATCTCCCTCTGGTGACCAGTGATGGAACCCAAGGGAACGGCATGAAGCTGCGACGGGGGAGGTTTAGGTTGGATATCAGGAAAAGGTTCTTCACTAAGAGGGTGGTTGGGCACTGAAACAGGCTCCCCAGGGAAGAGGTCACAGCACCAAGCTTGACTGAGTTCGAGAAGCGTCTAGATAACGCTCTCAGTCGTATGCTCTGATTCGGCTGGTCCTGTGTGGAGCCAGGAGTTGGACTCGATGATCCTTATGGGTCCCTTCCAACTCAGGACATTCTATGATTCTATGTCCTGAGGTCAGCCTCACAGGCTTCTTTTGCCCTTACAACACTCTGGATTCAAGTCCCAGAGGTAACTCAAATGTCATGGTTTACAACCTGGACGATTCTGCAGCAGCAAGCTAGGGTTCTCCACTAGTACTGTGAGTAACACAGGGGTATACATCAGACTATAAGCCATTATTTTTCTTAAAGACTAAAAGCTGACTCAGATTTGAGTATCTCTTTAAAAGGGAATAAGGGGTAACCAAGCAAGTGCAAAGCAGTGAGACTTCTTTCAGCATTTAAAAAACCCAAACTCCCCAAAAAAACAAACAAGAAAAAAACCCACCAAGACAAACAAACAAAAAAACCCCCACCCAACAAGACTGAAAAAGTCATTATACAGATTTCTTTCTGCAAAAAAGAAATTTGGGCCTGTCTGACCTAAAGGAGTTGTTGGAAAGTATCTGCCATACCTTTCATATCCAAACATCACTTGGCTAAGGAATCAGGACATTGAGACTGCTGTGTTGAGTGTTTTAAACTCAGGGATTCTGCTGTGGTAGGAAATTGAGAGCTAAACCACAAAAAGGAGTCAGCAAATATTGTAGCAAAGACATTCCTAAAATGAGATTCTAAGGGTGTGTTGCAATGCCTTGCAGTGCAGAGATCCCAAGAACAGCAAATACCAGGCCTCGTAAGCCACTATAGCTCATCACCACCCTCTATAAACTGGCTAACGATGTGTTCACTCTGCCCTGGGCCCTGATGTTATGTAGCACAGATGTCCTTTGAATTGCACTTGCCTGTGTCTTCTTTTCTAGGTCTACCATGTGCAAAGTTAGCACAATGTTTAGTAATGCATAGACAAGTGCATCTGAAAAAGTTTGTTACTGTGACTCAGGAGAGAATCAATAGGTGCCTAAATGTAAATCTTCTGTTTTCATTTGGTGGTCCCACTGTTTTCATTTTGGTGGTATGTGTTTTGAGTTCAAGCTGCATACAGACTTGTCATTGACTGATTTGTAAAAAATATTGGTTTAGACCATTTTCAAGCATTTTATTCAGGAGTGCTTTGCATCCAGCCATTACTTTGATTGGCCAGAAGTGACAGCAGAGACTTACACTTGCAGATGTCAATGTTTCCTTTTGTGTTTTTACAGACATTGGTTGAATATGGAGCAAATGTCACCATGCAAAACCACGTGGGAGAGAAACCCTCACAAAGTGCTGAGCGTCATGGGCACACCATGTGCTCCCGCTACTTAGTAGTTGTGGAGACATGTATGTCATTGGCCTCTCAGGTTGTCAAGCTAACTAAGCAGCTGAAGGAGTAAGTGTTTCATTGTTAGCAGAGGGATCATTCTTAAAACAATACCCTATTTTGTCTTCAATTTATTAGCAGTGTCTGTTTTCTTCTTCTTATATATGATATTTCCAAGTCATATTTCTACCTTATTTCTCCACTCTTTCCTGCTCTCAGGCATTCACCCCTTCACCTTTAGCAGCTCAGCTTTTCAGCTCTTCTCTTTGTGGCAGTTTGCTTTGAATGTAGACAAAGGAAGTGGGAGTGGAAAAACGTGTGTATGAAGCAATCCCTTTGCATACCTTGGGATCACATCATTGCTGATCATAACTTCTGTTCACATAGCATGCTTTTATATACCATGGGTGGCTCTTCGCAGTTACAGTACTGAGTGTTGATGTTGGGAGGAATAATGGAAATAGTAGTTGGAGAGGTGTTTTTGGACTTGGAAGGTCACCAAAGTCCACAATGGTTACTCAGGAAATATTTTATGTTCTGTTTTTTCTTCATAGGAGCTGGTTTAAATATTTTAGTATGGTTTTTAATAAACATTCTGTAAAAAGCCTGTTACTTTAAAACATGAATTTATGCAATTGCTTGCTTTTATTGTAAGTGCTGTTACTGTGACTTAGCATGTCAATAGACTCATAAGACTCAGAAACCATCAGCACTGACCTAGCTTTGTTCCAATTTAGAAACATGATCAAGAGCTTGTCAACCACCTTGTAGTTGCTTCTCATAATCCCATGTTTAGAGGAGACCATATAATTTTATGCAAGCAGCATGTGAGTAATTGTACTGGGTAGAAATTACAAGAGTCTGTTAGCATGGGAGGTGCAGGGGTGGCTTCTGTGAGAAGAAGTGAGGGGCTGCCCTTTGCTGTACACAAGTGGTTCCAGCCTGCTGCACAACAGACCCACTGCAGGACACAGCTAAGCCCATCAAGCAAGTTGGTGGCACCTCTGTGAAAACATATTTGTGAATGGACAGAAAATGCCAGAGAGGAGGAGGGAACAGAAGAGTGACAGAGGGAACAGCAAGGTCAGAGGAGCAGGAGGTGCACCATGGTGGAGCAGGCACACGCCCAAAGGGACTGTGGGCCATGGAGTACCCATGCTAGAACAGGTACACCCCCTGGACGTACTGTAGCCCATGGGTAAGCCCACACCAGAGCCAGTGCTTCCCCGAATGGACTGCAGCTGGTAAAGGACCCACACTAGAACTTCAGAAAAAACTTGCTTCCAGAGAAGGAAGCAGCAGCAGAGAGAAACTGCTACACACAGATCCTGGCCTGTGCTGCTCGTTGTCTCACTGAAAAGGCTGGGAGTAACCTGCAGCTATGACAAGAGGGGAAGAGAGGTGTCTGGAGTGAAGCCTGAGAATGGGGGAGAGGAGAGGCTTGGAGTGCAGATGAACCTGGGAGTGAAATTGAGCCTGGAAAAGGGAAGGACAGGTCTTTTAAATGTCTGTCCTTTTGTGTTTCCCAATACCTGAATCAATAATGAAAATTTTATGCTAATTGGCAATGACTTAAGTTAAATTCCCCAAGATGAATCTCTTTTGCACATGACAGTAACTGGTAAGTGATCTCTCTGTCTTTGTTTTGACCAATGAGCTTTTTTGCCTCTGTTCCTCCTATTTTCTGCCCGCATCCCACTGAGGGATAGAGGGAGTGAGAGACCGGCTGTGTGGGTGCTGCCAGTTGCGGCCAATCCATTATAGTGATACAATCTTTAGTTTCAAACTGGATGTCTTGAAAATAAGGGTAAAAATTCTCTATATTGTTGATTCACCCTTTTGGTATAATCTGGTATTTAATTTGTACTGTTTTTACAGCAAAAGGAGTAGCAGTGTGGTGTAGTAGCAGTCCTTTCTGTCATTACAGAATACCTTCCTGCATTTGAAGTATGCTTAATTTTATGTTTGTTCCTCTAAGTGTTATATTATACAGGCATTTTCTCTTTGTGGTATCATCACTCTTCCTTTACATTTATAGTCCCATAAATGCAAACAGTGAACTAAGGATTATTATAATTTTCACAGTTTTCATAATTTCACATTCTAACACTGTTCACTGGACATTTCAAAGAACCAGGTGTTTTGTAGTTGACTCATTTACTGAGAAATACTAAAATATACAAATCAACTGATATAAAGGAAAAAAAACCCAGAATATAGGGTATTTCCTGAGTAGCTTGCATTAGCACTTCACTCATCTCAATATATAATGAAATTGATTTTCCCATAACCCAGCAGAAAAAAACCACACACGCTAGAAAGATTATCCATGTTTCAGTTTTCTTCAGTGCTCACCCAGTACTTGATATAAGTGTTAACTCTCATGTGGAAACAAAAGACTTATGTCAGTCGGCAGGCTGTTTAAGCCCATAGAGACAGTGTAGTTCTGACTTTCCTGACGAAAGCATTAACACTTTTCCAAGTCTCCCCTTTGTCATCTCACAGACTGCATGCATAGGAAGTCATTTAAATGATTTTTATCTGGCTCCTGATGGTTCCTTTGCTTGTCTCAGCTGAAGTTAAATGTGCTTCCCTTCAGCAGCCTGTTTTTTCAGGCTTCAGATTTAGCTCCAGTAAGTGCAGCAGCAGCCTTTTCTTCCTCTTCTACCAAGAGACATAAGAGTCGTGTGTAACCCTGTTGCAGTTTACTGAGACAGTGAAATATTTTACTTTCTGCTTGAAGAACAGCTTCTGCATGGCTGTCTGGGCTGCAAGCCTCAGGCCATGAGTGGTTCTGAAAGAAGCAATGGACCATGTTCAGAGGCCCCTGCTCAGAAGCCAGAGGGGATGATGGACGAAGACTCTATCCCTGTTTTGCAGCCCCATCCTGCATAAAAGTCCAAGGATGTGACGTGGTTTAGCCCCAGCCGCAGCTGAGCACCACTTGCTCACACCTCTCCCGCCGGGATGGGGACGAGAACGGGAAAACAATGGCAAAGCCTCCAAAGCCTCGAAGGTTGGGATAAGGACAGGTTACTGGGACAGCAAGGGAGGGGGAAAATCAACAACAGTGCTGATAACAGATATTCACAATGGGTGATAACAGAGAACAATTTACCGACCTGACGCTCAGCCCCTGCCCAACTACCCCCCCTTTTATGGTGAGCATGACCCTTTTATGGTGAGCATGACGTCGCATGGTATGGAATAGCCCCTGGCCAGCTTGGCTCAGCTGTCCTGGCTCCTTGTGAAATTAACTCTGTCCTTGCCAGAACCAGGACAGGATGGTATGAAGTACATGCCTGGGACAGCTTCTCAAGGGGCCTTAATTCTGGCATAGCAGGAGAATTCATTGGCTATAGCACTGCTGTAGATCCTGAAAGGATTAGATGTCAACAGATGGAGGTCCAGTTTACAGCCTAAGTCACTTCAAATTGTTACATAGGAATAGCTCCAACTTGGGCAGCTGAGCTGGCTTTCCTGTATTTTCTCCACCCACTTCTGCTGGTGTTAGTGGACATTGTTCTAGAGACAGAGGAGTTATGATTGTATCATGATGAATTACCTGAATAGTCAATATCAACACAGAAAGCCCTTATGTACTTCACAGCCTTCCCTCAGCTGCTGTAAAAATGAGCTGATTATGCAATCTTCTTTCATTCTGAGTGCCTTATTAGCCAGTGATGAGAGCCTCTGTCTGATAATACTGTATGTCCCCAACCACAGGAAGACTGGAGTGGTTGATATTGTGCAAGAAGAACAGCAGCACAGAAACTGTCTTCCACCAGCACCTAGCAAGACCTATCTTCAAAGGTCCTAAACCAAAGAAGGAAGTACCATCTTTCATTCTCTTTTTATGAGTTCTTCCAGTCATCGAGGCAACACGGAGCAGTTTTAGAGACATGTTATCCCAGTCCATCACAGTCTTTGGAACCATTCCTGAAAAGAAGGCACAAAACCAAAACAATAAAATCACATCTGGCCAGAGTCTTCACATCTTTCAGCTCTTTGATCCGAAGAACCTCAGATGACAAATTTAGAGGAGTATAGCAAAACCTTTTGAGTTGGGTCTAACTCTCCATTCAGAAAGAAAAGCCTTTATATTAGAAAGAAGGAAATAAGTGGCAACTACAAATGTTTCATCAGATTTTCACAAGATGATTAACTGAGACTTTTCCCCAAAAGAGGGAAGGAACCAAGCAGTTCTTTCCATAGGTAAAAGGAAAGTGGCCCACAAAAACTGCTATTACTGGCTTCAAAATAAAAGCTTTGGTTTACATCTCTTGCTAATTATAGACGTTTAGTCAATCCAATAGGACTTTCTGAACTAAACAAAATGCTTAGGACAGTCACAAAAGTTTCTCACAGAGTCTATACAAAATCTCAGCTTTCATTTTACTTTATGAGGTCTCCGTAAGTCTTACAATCTTAGTTATTCCCTCACTGATTCATCTGTCTAAAAAAACCTTAGTTGCCAGTGTAGAAAATTCCTACCTGCACAAATACATGGTTTCTAGCACTGATGACATTAGTGGTAATGACTTGTATTTTTTGGGCTTTCCTGGCTTGATGAGACCAAGTCAGAACTAATGACATAAAATTAATGCTTCCCTAGTCATCTTTTACAATGCTGCTTGAAGACAGACCGTTCTACCTGCATTCCCAAAGGGTTACACTGTCCTATGTTTATGGACTTGGATGTGCAAAGCTATCAATGAGTGAGACACTTGTTGATCTTTTTGATACACTGTAAAGCCAAAATCTCTGGCAAGGCAAAGATTAAAGCAAACCATGAGTCAAAAGATGAAGATGAAAAACTGGTTGAATATCATCTGTTGCCACCACTTTTCTCTGTTCTCTAAACAAAACTCATTATTTTTCTGAAACTTCATAGGAATAGCTGTAAAAATAGCTGAATGAAAAATTATTGTAGTGGTATGATAAGGTATGTGCATGTTGCTGGTTTGTTTGTTGGTTTGGTTTGTTTTGGGTTTTTTTTTTGTGGTAGTGTTATGTAGGCGTATAGTAAGAAACCCAGTAGAAACTTCACAATGTTCATATCTTTTTTATTTAGTTAAGCTGTTTTATTTTCTGCTTTATAGAGTGGCCATTCTTGTTTTATTTGAAACAAAACAGAGAAGTAGGGCAACATACTATGAAAGATACTTCAGTAGAGCCCAGTGCCTCAGCCTGTTCTCTATCCAATTACTGGACTCCCTGATTACATTAGGAGGTAGCTGTGGTCCACAACTGTCTAATTAGACACAGAAGGGTCCTTACATATTACTGGGAACATTGTCTAAGCCAAGACCTTCAGAATTTGGACATTAAATATCATAAAGTAGACCTTCTCACCTGTGAAGCTACAGTGATCTTGTCTCCTAAATCTTACCCTCAGCAATATTACTATTCCAAGAAGTTGCGATCCCTCGTTTTCAATGTTGTCTTAGTTTTATATGTGTAAGTTATATATCTTTACGGATAGTGCTGGCAAAACTTGTGGGTTTCTGTGAGCTATTTACTAACTAGTTAAACTGTGAAAATGAAGGAAACTTTAATTGTTTTAGCACAATAAAAATGTTTAAGTGGAATGAGAACATTAACTCAGCAGAGGAGGTGTCAGAGATTTCCATTAAAGCTAAAAGCATAAGAAGCTGACAGCTGCATTATTTAGATATTTAGAAACAGAGGTGAAAGAAGCATAAAAGTCCAATAAAACAGTTAAATTGCATCAAAATCTAATCTCAAATGAAAATTTCCCTGGTTCTTAAAAGAGGGTATCTGGGGAGTTGCAATTTAAGCCGATTTTGACAGATTGTAGGAGTAATTTTAAAACAGTCTAAGGAAGTGTGTAGGCAAGAGGAAGGAAGATGGAAACTTAAAGGAAGAAATGATTTACATAAAGCATGGTTGTATTGTACAATGTGATGGCAAGGCAGTATGTCAAAACCCCAACTTTATTTCTGTAGCACTTTTCAGATCCACTCTTGTATGTTAAAAGTAAAACATTTCTTTTCTGCCAGCCGTGCAAGTACAACCCTGAGTCTAAAAAGTAATCTGGATTCTTTCTGGCTTTGACGTTGTCAGTTAGAAAGACTGCCTTTGGAACTCAGCTAACTCTTCTGCTGATGGCATGTGAGCTAGGAAAGAGTCCAGCTCACTGGCAGAGACCTGTATGAGTTCTGCAGATCCAATAAGAATAAAAGTACTAAAAACATACTACCTCAACAGCAACAGAAGCAGAGCCTGGGAGAAGCAGATAAAAAGTCATTTTTGCATGGTCAATTGTATGCCAGGTGAAAGCATAGGTACAGCAACAAAAAAATGTAAGTCTCTTGTTTTCTAGTAGTTTCCCAATAATTCTGTCTGTGCAGTGTTTAGAGGCACTGGAACTTAAGGTCACTAAACAGAATTGAATGTTATCTGCAGTGGTGAACAAGCTAAAGGGGTGTTTTGATGTTGGAATGGAAGGTCTTAATTGGATGGGAACAGGGAGAGGGAGAAGAACTTTTTGTGGCAAATCGATCTATTCCTTCATTTTCACAGAACTACTTGAAGGTTTGCAGGTTATCTTGTTCAACTGAACAAGATACTTATTTCCTATGGAAATAAGTATGACATAGGACAACAGAGATTGTGATTACAGTTCTATAGTAAATGGAGTTTCTAGTATGGATGTAACTTTCATATTATTAATGATTTATATCTACTAAAATTCTACAATTTTTAAAACATTGGTCTCTAAAGTTATTTACAAAGCAGTGTGCATCAAAACGCTGCACTGGAAGTGATAGACTGCATTAAGTACAGCACTATTGAGTATAATGTGGGTGCAGAGCAGAGGTAGGACCTTTGATAAAGTTGCACAGCAAGCAGATGTGGTTTTTCCTACTCCCCTGAATACACAGAGGTCACACTTAGCCCTGTCTTGCAGCTGAAGTAGCTTGGACCAGCCCTTCCCAGTGGGCAAAGGCTCCTCCTTTTGCAGACAGAAAAGGAGAGAGCAGTGTTGTTTAGCTGAGTAAAAGCCATCCACCAAATGTAGCAGGAGACTCCTTAATGTGTCCCTTTCCTCTTCCTTAACACAAACAAGTAAGAGCCAAGTGGCCCTAAGTTCACTCTGCCATATCTTTGTTTCTGGACTATTGTGAGTCACTCAGTTCCACTAACTGCTGCTTATGATCCCACACTTGTCCTTATATGAAGTATAATAAATATTCTCTAACAAGTAAGCCTCTCTTGGTTTTGTACAGTGATCACAAAATATCCACAGGGATTCAGACACAAGTGCAAACTCTCTGTTTATGCTATTATTTATTATTTCTCTTTTTATTCACTATGTAATGTATAGGTGAAGAGGACTTCTTTTTGAATACAAAGTTAAACAGGTAGTATCAGTTATCTTGTAGCTTACTAATGCTGATAGTTTTACAATTCAAGGTGAACAGTCTTACATTTTCTTGCAGGCAAACAGTGGAACGTGTGACATTGCAGAACCAACTCCAGCAGCTTTTAGAAACCCAGCGGTCAGAGGGCAAGTCACTGCCCACATCCCCAAGGTAAGGTGACTGGAATTGTGCTGCAGCCTGGATTTGCACAGTTTCATGGTATCAGTTATCAGGAGAAGGTGTGACCTGTCTAAATAGTAGATGTGTTCTGTAAAGTAAATGTGTTTTTTTACCTCATGGGCTTGAAGCTGAGCTTCTAGAATTTGACATTGGGTAATGTTGTATAAATATTGGAAATTTTGAGTATGAAATGAATAGTCCTTATTTCCCAACAGAGTGAAAATCAGATTTACAGTGGAATAAAATATATTTTGTATTAGATGAGTAGCAGAAGATCCTAGAAACCCCTAGGAAAGCTGTACAGTTTGACCTGTGGTGGTGCACCATACATTACTGCCAGCAGTAATTCATAAAGCCAGTTACCCACAAAACCTGCTTTCAGATTAATAAGACTCCTTGTGCTCATTAAATCTTTTGCCTGCAGTAGCTTGTATAAAAAGTCAAAACTCCAGAAATTTTATATATTGTTTACATACCCTGTCAGAAGTCCCAGAAATTGACACAAACTGGGTAATATTAAAAAGGAGAAAAGTAAAGACAGAGGACTGAATTTGGAGTCTGCTAACATATCTCTCTGACTTGTGCAACAGACTTCCTGTATGGTGCATGCAAGTCAAGCAAGCACACAACTTCTCTCTGATAACAATCTGAAGACAACTTTGAAAGGAATTAAGTAACTCACATGCAAATGTTTATCATTACTTTCTAATTCAGTTTCCTCTCTGGAAGACATATACAGCGCTTCTCCTTGTTTCAGCATTGTTAGGGAGCTATATATATGTTGAAGTATAAAGCCAGCATAAAAGCATCTGCAGGCATTGATGGTCAGAGCTTTGGGTCATCAAATATGAACCCATAGGATCAGTGACTGCTTGTTTTTCCATTCTTACAGAATCTCAAGCACTTTTCTGCACAAATGCTCCATGTGCCTGAATTTCATGTGTCAGTATTTCAGACAAGTGCAAATAGGTAGAGAAGTAGATAACAAAGACATTGGGATTGAAGATGCACTTGTGTAAAGGAAGTTCAGCTAGGAAAGGGATTTAAACTCAAAACTCCTGCTGAAGTAGAAAACTACAGTGGAAGGAGTTGTTTTTGTTCTTTTTTTTAGAATCGTGGTCTTTGTCTTCCCTGTCTGCCAGCTCAGCAGGGACAATGGGACCAAACGCTGCCTTCTGTCTCATTTTGTTCCTGTGACTTTTGCTGCTTGGTCTCTCCAAGTGGTCTCACATCTGAGTACTAGCGAGTGCCAGGGCTGTTTTACTTTCAGTATCAGATAAGATCATGTGAGAGCAGATCTCTCATCATTCATTATTCCTGTGAAAGGGTAGGTTTCAACATCTTCTTAGTTAAGTGAGCAGGTCTGAAAATTATATTCTATTCTTAAAAAAATTATTTCATAGTTGGCTACTAATTTTCCTTCCACCTAGAACTCACTTGTGGTTATTATCACCATCCAAGGATCCAGTAGCAGATTGAAGAGATTCTGCCTCTTTTACTAGGAATGTCTATTGCAGATACATACATATTCTTCAGTGTCTGTTTCAGTTTGCCACAAGGTAAAAAGCACAAAATGAATTGAACATGAGGTTGCTAGTGTAGGCATGTGAATGCTGTACACTGTGAGAACTATGGACTCATTAGAGTATTTTGCTTTCGAAAAAAGAAATTAAATTGATGAATTCACCGTCTCACACTAACCTTAATTTTGTCACCTTACCCTTGCTTAGAGAAAATGTGGTTTAAAATAGGAATGTGGAGTATTATGAGCTCTGGCATGTGTCATGGGGAAAGAAATGGTCTCTGTAATTTATGTTCTTTGAAAATCAGACTTCTAGAGATTGCTGTTTCCTCACTATGTAACATTTGGGATTCTAAATATAATTTATTATTCTAATAGTATTGAAATAAATTCATGTCACCTTTCTCATGCTTTTCAGTATTTTATATCTGAAAAGGTTTTGAGTGCAAATGGCCCTGACTTTTTATGAGGTCTTTTATGGCTATTGTTAATACCAGATGAAGTTTAGGTTTATGAAATCGTTGCTATGCAGGGAGCTGGTACTTTCACAGTATTTAGAATAAGCTACTTTTGTATTATGATGTGACTTGCATAGTAGGCATTTAGCCTTGTGGAGTTTTTTCCACCTTTTAAAACATGTCAACTCCTACAAAGAGGAAACAGTAGTTTCTCTAAAGTTTTCCACAGAAACTCAACTTTGGCATTGAAATAATCATTCTAAGTTTTGATTCTACGGAATTTTCTTTGTGAGAGAAAGTGAAGAGACTCAAATCCTAATTAGGAGTGGAAGCAGGGTTACATCCTTCTCTGTAATCTTCACTGTGGCATCATAGTAATGAATTCCATGTGAGTAGCAATGAAGAGGTTAAGCAACAATAAGCTGAGACAGACACGTACACTGTAAATGGCAGTTTCACATTTTATATTTGCATTATTTTGGCTGTGGTATATCCTCCTCCTTTTTTTTCTTTTTCTTTAAGCTCACCATCATCTCCTGCTTCTGGCAAACCCCAGTGGAAAACATCTGAAGCAGATGAATTGTCTCCACCAAAAAGTAAATTGAACACCCAAGATGGGATTCAGATTCTTGGCAGCTTGGGAACTTCTAGTCGCAATCGAGCCAAGATAAAAGATGAGGACTCGGATAAAATCTTGCGCCAGTTGTTGGGGAAGGAAATCTCTGAAAATGTCTGTATGCAGGAAAAGCTGACTTTGGAATTTCAGGATGCTCATGCATCCTCCAAGAACGTGAAGAAGATTTTGCCAGAGAAAAGGGAGCTGAAGTTAGCCAGACTGAGGCAACTGATGCAGAGGTCACTCAGCGAGTCTGACACAGACTCAGCTAATTGTGAGGACCAGAAGAACACCCCTGTGAAAAGAACTGACAAACCAAGGCCTCAGCCCATAGTGGAGAGTGTTGAGAGCACAGAGAGTTTGCACCTGATGATTAAGAAACACACTTCTGCAGCGGGACGCCGCTTCCCTTTTGGTATCAGGGTCTCTAAGTCTGTGGATGGCCACAGTCCTTCCCCTACTTCAGAGAGCAGCGATCCAGATAATGAAGCCCCGTATCAGTCTGGTACTGTACCTCAGAGCCAGTTTTGTGGAGACAACTCTTCGTCCTGCACAGACAGTGCCACTGCTCAAAAGGTTGCCACCAGCCCTAAGAGTGCTCTCAAGTCTCCATCTTCAAAGCGCAGAACCTCCCAAAATTTGAAACTCCGAGTCACTTTTGAGGAGCCTGTGGTGCAGGTGGAGTTGGCAGAGTCAGAACTAAACGAGGAAAAAGATAAAGACCGAGGCAAGGGACTCGTGCGGGCTCCACCCAGCTCTGGGGAGCCAGCGGGAGACCAGCTGAAAAGGCCTTTTGGAACCTTTCGGTCCATAATGGAGACGCTGAGTGGCAACCAAAATAACAACAATAACTGTCAAGCAGCAAACCTGATCAAAACCTCATCAACGCTGCCTTTTACCTCATTAGGAAGGAAGACAGCAGACAGCAAGGGAAATCCAGCAGCTGGCACAAAAGGAAGAAACAAACCAGTGAGTGCACTGAAAGGACAAAGGGCCCTGTTTTTCTCTTGTCTCTTTAAGTAATGAATAAGTTTGACAGCTTCTTCCTCCTGCCCTTCTATAGCAAAACGATGCACACAAATGCTTTACTGTATTTGATCTGTAAAAGCCCATCCACTGTTTTAATTTTGGAAGGCTTTTCCAAGGAGTGGCAGGTGTTGCTTGTGTACAAAGTCTGTAGTCTTAGTGCACGTGAGTCATATGTTCTGTGTTGAAAGCTTTCCACAGAGATGTGATTCACCTGGAAATGACATTTGGTGTTGCTCTGAGTGACAAGTCATACAATGAGAATGTCATGCCTGAATCCGTGGGATTTCTGAGGAGTAAATAACTGAAGGTCTAGCCCTGTCCTGTCCTATAGCCAAGACTGATGAGGCCAACAGGATAAAAATAAGTGATAGAATATAAAGAGGAAAAAATAGCAGGAAGGGTGCTTCCTGTTTCTGAGGGAGCTACAGCCATGCCCTAGCTATTGAAGCTGTGAGTACCCAGACTTCTTTGCCCACCGTTTCCTGATGGCCCACAGTCTTCTCATGTCAGAGCATATGGATGGTCTCTAGCAAAACGTACTGGATCCAGATCATCCCCTCTCTGCAGTTAACAGAGTGCCCTTTCTGGGATCCCAACAGAAAGAGGGCTGTCTCCAGTTAGAGGCTGGCTCTCTTGTTCAAAAGAAAGGAGAAAATACTTTGAACAAATGTATCTTCCAAGAAAAAAGAAAAAGTATTGAATGAAAGAGACAGAGGTAGGAAATACTGTGAGCGCAATGTGTTTGTGGAGCGGAGAGGAGAAGTATGAGCATCTGGAGATACAATAAAAGTTGAGTGAGAGGGAATGGTAGATGATTTAATCCTCTGTGAAAGACAGGGTGGGAGGAAAGGGGTGGATGGAAAGACGTGAGGTGAAAGAATAATTTCAAGATGAAAAAAAAAGAACATAAAGCAGGCCAAGAGAAGGAATAGTGAATTATATACTGTAAAAAGTATGACAAGCTAATGGGAGAAAAACACAGGAAAATCTTAGGCACAGAGGAGGCAAAATGAGTGTGGAAAAAAACAGTGGAAAGAGAACTAGGAAACAGTGAGCAGTCCATATTAGTGGTACTGCTAGAACAGCAGTGCTATAGCAGAATGTGAAATGAAATGAAAAATTCAAAGGAGACGTAATAGGCTAAATTGAAGTGGGACTGCATTTATTGAACTTTATGCAGAATCACAGTATGAACTACTGATTTGAGTCTTTAAAGACATGCACCATGCCAATTTAATGTAGGAGTATTTTCGTAAGACAATGGCAATTTTTTTCAAAAGAGTGATTCAGATTTTATAATAACAAAGGAAAAGACAGTCTGTTTTCAAAGATGTTCTGATAGATTGCAAGGTGATGAGCAGTTTTCATAGTTCCCTGAGAAATTTGAAGAGTTGGATGGGGTAACTCTAACAGTATTGAGGGTTGCACTGTAAAATGCATGCTGCCTGTGGAAAGGCTGTGTTTGCATGTCATTGTTGCCAACGTCAAAACTGCGAAAAGAATACATTTTCATACCAACCCAAAGAACCACAGCACACATCTCAAAGAGGTAACAGATTCAGTCTCATTTCCTAGCTCAAGAAGAAATCTGTTAAGATGTTATTGTGGCTATTTGCATGTTTTGGTAGACTTCCATGTTATGCATGTGGTAAGCTCAGTGCACGTTTTTAACTGATATGATGTTGTACTTCCTTAGGGTCCTTACTTCAGCTACACCAGTCTTTCCTCTAGCACGTTGAATGAAGAACTTCTGTGTAACTTTGCTTGGTATGTGCTTATGCATGCTGATGTTTAGCATCTCTTTTGCTTTGTTTTCTCAAATTGCATTTGTTTGCTAACATTATTCATAACTGAAATACTGGAATTGATTGATGCATACAAAGGCAATAGATGAACAGATGAACATCTAAATTCCTAGAAAAGCAGAAATTTATGATGGATTTCTGCTGATGTCACTATTGAACTGGCTACAGGATTTCAGTTCCAAGCCAGTATAGAAAGTATTCATACTCATAAATCCACCAGGGACTATAGCACACTTTGGCTGAATATTCAGCCTCTGCTGAATGAAAGTCAAGTACCAGATGAGAATGGAAATTAAATTTCCTCTCATGAGCAGAGCAAAAAGACCACGGTTCATCTCTAAATGGAGGGTACAGAGAACATGAGGCAGAATGCTGTGCTTTAAGTCTAGTACTCTCCTCTTTTCACACATTTTTCTTACACTCCTTTAGACTTTGAAGTTAAATCAGTATTTTAAAAGTTTGGTAACTTTAACTATTTCAAACTCCTTAATTTAGATGTGTTCCATCAGGACCATTCAGGCAGACAGAGACCAGTCCTTCAAGGTCCATAAAGACATGTTGGAAAAAACAACATTTGACAAAATGTGCTTTTATTTTATAAGCAAATGCTTTGTAAAAATTACCTATCATTTGTATTCAACATCACAACAAATTCTTGTGATGATATTTTTTTTCTGTTAAACTGAGATGTAAATCCTTTCATTAGGCCTGGAAATGACTGCTACTCACACCAAAATTGTACATTTGAGGATACTTCTGGGAAAATTATAAATTAGTCATTCTGCAGTTTGGGAGCCTAAATTGCTTTCAAGTTACTCTTTTTCAAACGTCTAATAATTTTTTTTTTTTCTTAGCTTGTTTTCTAATGCCAGGACCTTCCCATACTTAAAAACTCAATTTCCGTAATGGAAATGGGAGTCTTGTTCTGAAGTCATTGGCACAGTGTATATGAAACCAGAAACAGAACTGTAAGGTTTCCAAGAGGTTTAATTCTCTCCTGAAAACAAAGCGGGAAATTCCAGTGCAGAAAACTGACGGCACAGCAGCAGTGTGAGGGAGCATCGGTGGGCAGCCTCTAGTCAAAACACTCAGCTGCTTGTCCAGACCATGGAGTAATACAAAAACCATTAATCTCACCCTTATGTTAAAGCCATCTCCCACACGTAGCCAGTTGTCATAACTCAGTATTGCCTTGTGTAAAGGCTCTTGAGTGAGAAATCCCTGGCAGCATGGCATTTCCCCAGAAGCAGCAAGAGACAGGGAGGGTCTGGCTGCTGCTGCAGAGCTGCAGAGTCACCTGCTGGGAGGGTGAAGGTTGAGCCTGGACTCCTGGCTATGCCTCCAGGCACTGCTGATCCAGGTACCTTGTCCCGAAGCTGCCCCCGTGGCAATGGGCACATGGAAAACCAGAGAGTAGGAAAGGAGGAGCAGAGTGCAGTAGGGGCACAGCTTGAGGAGGCTGATATTGTACCCACAGACTAGGACAGAAGTGGACAAATTGCGTGCCAGGGTCTGTGGCATGAGATTTCTAAAAATCACAGAAGAATGGAAGAAGTATTGTGCTTTTCAGAAATCAGAATGCAGACCTGAAGGCTCTCAGAGCTTCTAAACCAGCCTTCGTGATGCCTTTTAGCATGTGTTGTGATTTTTGAATGGCAAAATGGGTGCCTGTCAGTAGTCCACTGTGTGCTGCCCTGTAGCCTGTGAAATTTAAATAATAGAAGAACATCAACATCACATGTACTACAAGCCCCTGGACAGTGTCTGAATTTTCCCTGAATGGTCTGGGGAGACTGTAATTGCCATTTCAGAGCTATTTCAAAAAAGAATTTTTCTGGAAAACAGTGCACTCTTTGGTATTTTAAACCTTTGTAGACTGTTATATTGGGAGTTATATTTCTGGGTACAGTCCCAAAACCATTTTAACTGTAGAACTTTATATAGCAGATTTTATTAGCAGCTTCTGAAATCTAAAGTCATTATATAAAATCTACCTTCAGTCAGATGCCATTCCTGTCCACAAGTTTCCAGCTTCTTCAGCCTCTGTTGATTTTGTTCATTTTATTTTTTCATTCATTTCACCCAAATATGTCAAGGCTTTGTAGTTTACTTTTTCAAATTGGTCACAGCATAATAGTAGAGGATTATTTTAAATTTTCTAGTGTCCTTTTAAAATTTGATACACTCTGTTTTTCTTAAGGCCCTGGATCAAATTTCAGATGTGCAGGATGCATTGGGATATTTTTTCCCTTATTGGAAGGATTTGCTAGTTTCTTGCATATAACAACTACAAGCAAGTGCTTGTAGGTTTTTTCCATCTTGCATGTATGCCAATGAATGGTTCTTTCCCACACTTTAAAGCATCTGACATCTGCAGTACATTAAAGTAAGCACTAACTCACCATATCAATACAAAACTCTGTTTTAGCTGCAGCTATCAGGGGCAAAAATTGCTTCATATGTCAGGGGCAATCAGCAGAATCTGCCATCATGTTTCTGTCAGATAGTAAACTGGGCATGCTTCTAAAGTAGCAAGTGGATTTAACCTAACAAACAGATACCCCACTGCCAGACCTAGTGCTGGATAAATTACAACTTCAAATATGGGCTCTAGAAAAAGGGTGATTATCTATATGTCTAACAAAACAGTTACAATTCAAACTAGAACAGTATAAAATCAATATGAAAGTAATTTAGGCCTTGTTCCAGATGATTTACAGTTGTTCTGTTGTGAACTGTTATGATCATGCATCAGTGCCTGTTGCATGAGGGGATGTTTAGTATTTCTGTGGTGACACAGGCACCATAAAGTATTAGGAATTTGGTTTGTAATTAATAATATTAGTAATACATTTCCTTCAGGTCAGCAGGCACAGTTGTAAAAGGCATATCTGTTCAGGATTGTCACCTAGAGACATCTGCATTAGCTAAAAATTATCCTATTTGAGGTCACAATGAAACTGCAGAGCTGCAAAATGGGGTCTTAGGAGTACCTAGGGAGAGTCTACATGGGGGACTCACCCACAGGGTCTTTCAGCACTGCGAGTCTAAGCTAATACAGTAGTTAATTGATGCAAATTATCATAGCCTTAGAAAGCATCCTTTAATAAAGCTCCATGGTTAAAGCCAAACATACTGTTGATAACAGCAATGCATATTAAGTGCCAAAAAGTAGTTATGACAAAAAATTAAGTGCTCCACTTTTACCTCCTTAAACTCAGTCCTACAAATTATGCCTCATCTAGCTCAATTCTATGTCTTTTGCTCTTGCTTTGAGTATGTGGCAACAGTAATTTAGATGAATGAAGGGGATTTTAAAATAAAATGATCCCTCATGCTGTCTTGTTAGGATACACAACTGTGGTCCCTGAGAAGGTCAGCTTCTGTTAAATCCTGAAGTAACCACAAGGTTATCTAAGCATCCTAAATTTCAGTGTCTTGGGCATAGTTGGTTCTTTGTGGTCATTGTAGACTGGAATAAAGCTATTCTGGTTTACAAGAATCACGCTCAAAAAATATGTGAGTTTAAGGCAAACTGCTTAGCCACATACACTAGCTCTTTGCTGTGGATTTTTACCCTCCTGCTAGTATCTGTCCTTTGCACCAACAAACCAGCTAGTCATGACTGTATTGTAGGAGTTTTGCTGCTCAGCGATAATAACTAAAAATGAGTCTTTCAACCTTTTTGAAGTTGCTGTAAGCTGAATTCTTAATCAACAATCCTTCATCTGGAAGGTTAATTGAAGAGAGGGGGAACATTCTGGGGCTTCAGGACAAGGACATATGAAAGGAAGTGAAGAAACCAAGTGTTACAAATATTTAGTGTTTAATTTTTCTGCTTTAATTGGCAAGCTATCATTTGAGTTTCATACACAATAGATGATAGATTTTTTTTTTTTTTAATTTAAGTTTACCTAGTGTGGAAATGAAGACACACTATAAAGAAATTACCCTTATCTGTGTATCTAACAATATCTTAATGATTTGAATTGAGATTTTACCTAAAATACAATGTTAAAAGAGATATAGGCCCCATGTCAGAAAGAGAATTACTGCTTGTCATTTTTCTTATGGCCTTTCCCACCGTCTTCTACTTCTACATATAAAGTAACTCCAGTGAATCACCTTCTGAAAGTGTTTATTTCTCTCTGATGATCATTAATGGAGACTAGATGATTCCCTTACAGGTAGAGTCAGAAGCAAACAGGCTATGTCTAATGTCTGCTGTAGTGGATCTTTTTATCACTATGGTACTTTTCCCTAAAGGACAAGGAATTTTTGTACATTCTGTCCATTATTACCAGAACATTATGACAATGTACTAATTAATGCTGTGACCTAGAAGGTCCTCATTGTCCCATTGGTAGCCAGTTTTGATTTCAGAATAGAAGCTACAAGAAAGTCAGTAGGAATCCACAGTATTTAAAAATACTTTGTGTAGTACATATCTAGAGAAATAAACTCAGAAAGATTAAATCAGAGCTCAATACTTGCAAATGGAATAAAACAAGGTAAACAAACACAGGGCAAATCCCTCTGTACTTTTAGTGTTACCGTGAGTAATTTTCTTCTCTTTCTCTCCAGGCATGATGACATCAATAGGAAAAGCTGGAAATCCGACAGTCAAAAGAGTACTGAAGAGCCAGAGCTGCAGGAATTCTTCCTCTAAACCACATCTCATGATGTCTCACTTTGTTTGAAATACCTGAAATATATCCTTTTGAAACACTAATATGAGACATACCCCTCACCAGCAAAACAGCAGCTGTTAGGATGCCTTAATTTGTAGCAGTTAGACCATATACAAAACTTTTTTATGATATATGTGTATATGTAACTTGTTTGTAAGCTGTGCAGTGTAAAGGCATGAGTGAGCAAAAGTAACAATTCGAAAATTGTTATGACACAGGCAACCTCCAAAATGTTTGTTGGGCCACAGAACACATTTTGTACTTTGTGTCTTGCATGGATATATTGTCATATATCTTTATTTCCCTTTGTCAATGGCATATACTGTCAAAGTTTCAGCCAGGACTCTGCCTGCCCAGCTCCTCAGTGAGACCAAGGCAAAAGCATTGATTTTTTTTGCATATGTTTTGTCTGTTGTTATTTCTATTTTTTGTAAAAAGGAAATAAAGACGGTGTTAATAGGACACACTGAGTGCAGATACTTCTCATATTTCGTTGTTTCATCTTTTGAGCTTTAAGTGTTTTATTGGTCTTTTTGGTGTTCATTTGATAATGAGACAGTGTCCAGTACCAGGAGTTCAGTTCAGTCAATCAGTTGATTCAAGAATTGTTTTAATGTTTAATCATCCCTTTTCAGCTTTAAAATGTGTAGAAATAAAAAGAAAGCATAAATGCCATTTTACATTACCATTTATTGTTACTTGCAAAACACTGGCAATGTACTCAGCTCTATTCAAATCACTGAGTAATCTGCTAAGACCTAGTCCATAGTCTAAGCTGTCATGATCCTTCTATGGAACGTTCTTTGAACCTTTCAGAGAAAATGCAATCTCTTACCAAATTCACTTCTTTTCTAGTAAACTATGAGTACATTCTGCAAATGTGTTATACAGCACAACATCCAAAAGCAGACTACTAGATGATCTTGATGCATTTATTTGTATCAAATATGGTTATATATATTTGCTTTATTTTTATTATATTAACCTATTTCCATTTGAAGACTGCTACGGTTTGATGAGAAAGATCCAAATACATGAAGATTTATTTTACTGACTATTCTAACAGAACACAGGAATGTCAGAGGAAGTTTGCCAAAGAGTTTTTTTATCACAAAGACAATCCTAGAATCATAGAGTGGTTTGGGTTGGAAGGGACCTTTAAAGATCATCTTGTTCCAACCTCCCTGCAGTGGGCAGGGACATAAAAAGAAATGTGAGATTATGCAAATTAAATTCCTGTAATTGCAGAACTAGTAAGTAAATAATGTGGACACTCAAGAGGATTTTGACTAAGTACAATGGAATTGCATTCTGTGCAGTTTCTCTTGCCTGTTCTTTGCTGTGTTCATCCTGACCATTGGGCTTCCTTTTTGGTTAGTGAGAAGAGAGGGACTTCTGAATGTGATTCATCCTACCTGTTATAGATATCTCATTTACAAGAGTACCAGTCCATTCCTACTTACTACAGGGAAAGTTGAGGTAGTAGACCTCTTGGAAGAGTTACCTTTAATTAAGTCAGATAAATGGGTAACTCTTCAGAGTGATGTCATGTTTGGCCATACAGCTGCAATGGACCAAGATGACTGAATACAAGGCACCTTGCTTGTAGGCTTTGGATAAGCACAGAGTACTACTGGATAAGATGGAGCCAATTGAGAGATCAGCAAAAAAACCCACAAATAGAAATAATAAAAGTGCACACTTACAGAAATGAAATTCTGGGTTTCTTTCCACAGTTCTTAATCTGTCAGTTGGCAACACTTTGATTTTTGAGCTAAAGTAATAAACCTAGCACTCTAGCTGACCTGAGCTGTGTTGTTTAAAGAAACAACCAAACCTCAAAAAGTATCTGTCAGCCAGGAACAGCAATACCTCTGACTGGGCCTCCTGTCATCTGTGTGTGTTTGAAAAATCTGAATGCAAAGTGAAAAGAGACACATGTGCTGCAATTGCCAGAGCACTGAAAGAGTGCATGAAAAGGAGAGATCCTGTGCCTGGTTGATGGGCTTAAAACAAATTGGCAATTAGCATTTTTGAGAGTATGAAGAGTGTTGACTATGGTCATGTGAATGGCAGAAGCAACAATCCCGCTGAGTGAGCTTGCCTGACTGGAGATGTGTAAAAGTCTGCCATAGCTATCTCTAGTATCTAGCCAAAGCAGGGAATAAAACTGAATTTCTGTGAAAGAATATGAAACAGACTAAGGTGTAAGTATTGTCAAATCCTGGAAGAAAGAAGTTGCCTATTCTGGAGACTGAGGATTTAAAAGTCACCTGCTCTCTGCAGGGTAGCAACTTCTACAGCGTATATTCTCATAGAGCACACAGGAAATTAAATTATGCCAATATCGTAGGGCAATAGAGATTACTATGTGAGATAGGATTGGGATGCCGGAAGACGTTCAGGGTTTGTGGTTAAAGATATCCGCTAGGTAATTGATGTTGTGTGGAAGACTCCCATCCCAGATAATTGGATAATTGAGTACAGCTGGGGAGGGCTGAGTGTTTTGAGTGGAGCTACATGTGCTCTTCGTGTGGCTGTTCATGGTTCCTGAGCACACTGGGACAGAAAGCATTTTCAGGGCTAGCTAGTGCAAAAGAGAGGCCAACTTGATGTAAGCATGAAAAGTAGCGTCTGGAGAGTTTTATCTCTGGAGAAGGTGAACTCACATTGTATAAACTGCTGATTTTATTGTTCCTAATTTGTAGTTTCTTTTCTGCCTAGGGCCCCTAAGTCCACACGTGGTACACTCTGATGTCATGCCTGTTAGAGAAATGCTGATTCTGTGATCTTCAGCTGGCTGAAGTGTGCGCTCTGCATATTTCTATCCTTAGTAGCTATAGAATCCAGGTGCCATAACTCCTTCTGTTTGGTTTATAATCCTCCAGGCATATCCCTCCCGGCATGAGTCTAAGTCAGCCTTCTGTCAGCAAAGCATAAGCATTTCCCAGAGTCAGAAGAGTTGATCAGGAAGTTTCCAGCAACCATCTTCAGAAAATATGTTAGCCAAAACTTTTAACAGGAGCACAAACCCCTTTTGGTTACAACCCTTGTCAGAAAAGGTCCTTCCCTGTCCCCTCAGAAGTTTCTGATCAAATGAAGGTAGTGAAGTCATTTGCTAGTGATCCAGTATGCGTCCTGGTAAAACTGTATCTGTGGATACCACAGATATAACGAGTGGCTTTTCAGGTTCTGTCACCCCCAAAGATGTCAAAATAAGATCTCTCTGTCTTTGTCCTGTAGTTCTGTATCAAAGGTGTTCAGGAGCAGGAATTCATGTAATCTGGCTGTCCTCTTTTGAAGAATGAAAATCATTTGCTAGGAGCCTTCTTTTTTCATGGTTGGCCAATTTATTTGTTTGTTTCAGGTGTTTGAGATGGGCAGCATATGGATACATGCAGTATCAAGACCGCAAGTATGGTACTTTATTTCATCAGCAGGGTAGTGGGCTATGCTTTGTTCTGCATTAGTAGAACAACATTTTAGTAATATTTTATTTATTTGCCTTTCAGTCTCCATATTAGAGGACAAATACATTGGTCTACTAGGTTGTCAATTAATAAAATAACTATAGTCAACGTAGTCGGTGTATGAAGAAGAATGTGACAAGTCAGACAGTTCAGATTTAATATTAGTTTCACTAACTGTCATTCAAAAACCTTTTCATAACATCAAGCTGACATAAGATCGATGGCATAACAAAATACAATTGACAGCATAACAGTAAAAATTAATACTCCAACATCCACTTATTTATAACAAAATGGTAACTGCCTCAGAAACATGTTCTCTGAGAGCTGATTTGTTGCATGTTTCATGACCTATCATTACAGCAATGTCAGAATATAGCCATGCAACACAGTCAAAAGTAAAAATGTCAGCACATCATATGGTAGGTATGAATTAATGGATTAGTGAATAGATCTCACGGTGAGACAACTTTTGTCTGCATGTAGACTAAGATTCAGCTCCTCATATGCTTGAAATATTTCTTAGTCTTTTAAAAACCTACTTGATGAAAATTTGACAGAAAGGTCTGTGAAAAATGTAGTCCCTGCATTTGTAGAATCAAACTGCAAGGCTTAATTGTCTGTCATTAAATGGTTTCTCAATGACATAATAGGAATAATTTCTCCAATTATATAGCATTTCCTATTATAAGTTCAGAAATGTCTTTCTAACCATACATCAACTGTACCCAAGGACACACTGCCAGACTGCCCAGTTCACAGAAGGCAGGGACTGGGAGAATGCAGAACCACCCACTGTAGGAGAAGATCAGGTTTGAGAATATCTAAGGAACCCGAAGGTGCACAAGTCCATGGGACCTGGTGAGATGCATCCACGGGTCTTGAGGGAAGTGGCGGATGAAGTGGCCAGGCCACTCACCATTATATTTGAGAAGTCCTGGCAGTCCAGCGAAGTTCGCACTAACTGGAAGAGTGGGAACATAACCCCCATTT